AGAATTCTCTGTCTTTTGATTTCCAAAACCTCACAACTATCTGTACCGATTCCAGCTGTTTGCTTTACGGTTTTGTATCCTATGGAACACCGATGTACTGATAATATGAACTGCATTCTAATGGATACACGCATACACTTTCCAAAATCTCACTTTCAGTTACGCATTTGTCCTCAAACCTCATACTTCTGTTTTCTCCCAGAAGGACCCGCCAGCCCCCAGTAGTGCAGCTGTGGGGCAGCCAGCCCTATCTGCGCCCCCCGGGCTGTGCCGTGCCGTGCTGTGCTGCGGCCATGCTGGGCCATTCTCCCAGCCCTGTTCTGCTCAGTGTTGGGCGCAGGCGCAGCTCGCCCAGCTGCCAGCATGGCCCCAGCCCCAGCAGGAACCAAGGTTTTGGCAGGAAGTTTCCACAGAAGCTGCAACTGCTTTTAGAAACAGCATTACAGGCGGCCGCAGCTCCACCTCCACAGAGCTTCTCTTTTCAAAATTACTTTGTCAAATAAGTGAATGTTCACTGTGAGAGTCCTGTTCTGTGACAGCATATTTCACACTGCCAAAAACCCAGTAATGCCTGTGGAAAAGTGTATTTTTGAGGTCCCCTCCCCGTTACACACCGGTCTGTGGCCCATGGGATCTGCAGCACGAGCTGGCTGCTCACTGGGTACCACGCACTGCAGAAACCAGCACCCCAAAGCTATGGAGGGCTCTGGCTTCCTCATCACTAGGTTTCTCTCAGGCACCAGGAGTGGGGCTTCTTCCTGCCCATCCCCTCCAGCAGCAGACCACCTTCTTCCAATCTTCTTCCTGCTGAACGTACTGAGGTTTGTGGCTCGGACTGAAATGCCTGTTCTCCCCCTCTCATGCTTATCTTTCCCCCCTAAGTCATGTAATTTGTATTTATAATTTTGAACATCACTTGCTATCTAAACCTAGTTGTTTCAGAATGCTTATTTTTACTTTATGAATGGGAAAAAGGAAAAGAAAAAAAAAAGGAGGAGTACTGCAACTGAATTCTGTTTCATTCATTTGTAGGTACTGAGCTCCTGTCAAGTTCTGAACTTTCAAGTGATTCCTCAGAATTACATCCTTTAATCTGTAACAGAATTAGACAAACCACTTTGCTATTTGCTTTGACATTTGTTAGGCTTGGCGACTACAAGAAGGTAAATTTGCCTTTTCCCCAGCTGCACTGGAGCTGAACAAGCAAAGTCAGGTTTGTGAAAGGTGATAACACGCTTTGTGGCTTTCGCACACAATTCCTTCACTTGGGGGACAAACGATACCTCCTCAGAGATCTGAACTCCAGCTGTTTCCTTCTTAAGGTTTTATGTTCTATTGCACAGCCTGGCATTAATATAATTAACTTTGCTCTTTGTGCGCTCCAATCACAGCACACAACAGACTGCAGCACTGCAGCCCCTTGGGGAAGGACGGCCACCCTGAGCAGGGCAGGTTGGAAGCTGCCCACATATGGCACCCGAGGAAGCGGAGGCACTTTGCTGACGGGGCCCTCTGGCATTTCTGTTTGCCTGTTTGAGTTTTTCTCATAAAAACTGCATGCTGAAAGGACGTAAAGGAACAATGATTTTCCTTTGAGGAAATTTGCACTTGTGTTTCAAAGAAGCTCAATGTGGATCAGTGCGGACTTGGTGACAATTGCTATCCCATGATATTTGTACCTTTCCCCGACTTACATCCCTCTGCCTGTCACCACATAAAGCGAGGGCACAGATGCAGCACGCAGATAACTGCAGCACTGATTGCACAGCCTTGGTAGTCCCTGGGAATGAGCGCAGTAATGGGCTGTTTGTCCCTCTTCCTGTTTCTGTTCTATCACAAAGGAGTACGTGAGCCTGTTTCCGCTCTATGTGCTTACATCAGTACGCCGGGCATTTGCAAAGCCCTTGTTCCGGTCACAGAGTTTACTGCATGAACTCTTTGTTGCCCAGATTTCTCTTCATTCACTGCAGTGGGTCAGTGCCTGTAAAAACTGTATTTTCCTCACGCAGAGCTGGCTTTAACAAACAACCTGTGTGTAAGATGTGCATCCTTACATGGCCCCAGCACGAGGCAGAGCATGGCCAGTGGGGTGCTCACAGCCAGCAGCTGGCATGGCCACCACAAAGCCCTGCTGTCCCCGTGCAGTGCAGCCACCTCCACTCCACTCATTCCAAGGGCCTTGCCCCAAAGCTGTCGCTTGGTTGCACCAACACTTCAGTTTTACTTCAACTCCTGTCATTTTCCCATTTTCATGTAAGATGCACTGACCTGACTGCTGGGTCAGCTCCGGGCTGCCTGGGACCTGCAGCCACCTCAGCTGGCCCACCCCAGCCACCACTGGGACCTGCCACCACTGGGATGTGGCGCTGCTGGAACCTGTCACCACCAGAATCCATCATCGCTGGAACCTGCCCAAAGCAACCTGCCGCTGCTGGCATCTCCCTGTGCTAGAGACTGAGCTCAGAGCACACTCCTCTTTGATAAAGTACAACTCTAGTTTGCTTTATCATTAGTTTCATGCCTAATTCCTAAGCAATGTGCTCTCTCACTGTATCCTATGATGCATTCATGCTATTTACTATAGGCTTTATAGGTCACAGCAGACCAAACTCTCAAGTCCCAGCCAAAGTATGAAGTACAAGCTCTGCAGTAACATGATGTCCAGGCAGGGCACTGGGAAGAGGAGATTGTAAGGAATTCTCAGGTTCAGGTTATCATCTGGAATACCAAACAGCACGATGGACTAATTACCTTCCAGGCAAACATGGATAAAGAAATATTTCATTGTACGCTCCAGCTTCACACATATTAGAAGAAAAAGCTATAAATTAAATGAGGGAAGAAAGAGAAGCATATTGTGTAAACAGAAAAGACATTTCATGGTGTAGAGTCACCATGCTTTGTTACAACAGGAGCACAAAAGAGGAACCCCTCAGCACCAGGTCCGGCAGTGACTCTGGCAGTGAAGCAGGGCTCCAGCACCTTGGGACTAAAGGAGCTCCCCAGCGCAGCAGCACTGGTGGATGAGAAAGAAGCCCAGAAAGCTGTGCTCAGGCCCACAGACACTCTGTGCTGCACAGCTGGAAGCAGGGCTGTGCCTGCCATAGCAGCGTTCTGCTGCACCCGAGGCACAGTGCACAGAGTATGGCTGCAGCACATGACTCTCAGCACCAAGCCCTCACCTCTCCTTCTGCAAACCAGAACACTGTGCTGTGCTGCACACTCAAGGCATGCCTGGTGCCTCCATTTACACCATCACAAAACAAACCTCCTGTTCTAGTTTTCCATCTTTTTGCTGGCTTTCATAAAAGGCAGATCATACATAGCTTCAATTGTAGACCCAACACGATAACAGCCCTCAGGAAGCTCTTCAGCTCCTTATGCTGTTTTTGTTCAGCACTGATAAGGCACATGTTCTCCAAAAGGGTCTGACATTAAGTTTCAGCCTTGGCAGTAAAGAAAGTGATTCTTACATCCCTTTTGTCACAGTGTAAGTTCTTCAGTGAAGAACTTCCACTTCTGCTCTGCAGCAACATGGAGGCACCCAACTCGTGCTGCTGTGTTAGAAGGGGTTTTGTCTGCTGTGGCGATACACCGACCTGTATGCTTCAGTAAAGCAACGGGCACGTTTCATGTCCAGCATTTCTGCCGCACGGTACTTCCAGCCAAAGCCTTGTGTGAATGCACAGCAATACTACTTTTATGAAAAGTAGCGAAACGTTCAGCAAAAACTTCTACAAGTCTTCAAGAACAAAAATGAGCAAAATCTGCGCTAACGATTTCACATCAAATAATTGCAACATACGGCGTGTGTTCTGCGTAACGGCGACTTTACAGCCGTTTAACCAACAGCAGGGGCCCATTTCCACTCACCGCAACCCCCACTGCGAGAGGCACAGCCGCCCAGCCTGTGGGCTCAGGGAGACATAGGCACATGGCCTCAGCTTTCCTAGTGGAACAAGAGCCCAAACTGACAGAACATCGCTCCACAGAACCCAAGAAAAACTGGAGAGGCTCTGAAGGCTCCATGTCTGCCTGGAGGGGCCAGGCGAACTGCCCGCATCCCCGTCATGTGTGCCATGTCCCACAGAGCCCATGGGGAAAGGTCTGCATGGCTGTGACTTGGGGTCTGGCCCCAAGAGATGGCTGTTGCCTTCACTGCACCCAGTGAGCGCAGAGAGCTTTACATAAAGTTTGCCAAGCAAAATTTCCAAGTTTCTTTACCATGTTCCTTAAATCTTCCCAATTTATCTCACAAAATACATTCAGTAAGATGCAGTATAACAAAACAGCATTCCAAACAGCTTACCATGACCTCCCAGGGCACTGCACATCATTCTGCCGTGGGCGTGCAAGGGCGCAGCCAGGACAGCACGCAGCTCCCGCCGCCTGAACGCCCGCCTGGCTTCCGCCTGCACACAGCTTCAGTGCCACTGCCGGCCCACACTGCTGCACAGCACTGCCTGCTGCTCACTGCGTGCTGCTCACTGCGTGCTGCTCACTGCCTGCTGCTCACTGCACACTGTTCACTGTGTGCTGCTCACTGCGTGCTGCTCACTGCATGCTGCTCACTGCACACTGCTCACTGCACGCTGCTCTGCAGCAGCAGGATGCTCCTGGCCTGGGGGGGCGAATGCAGCGATCGCACCTTCTGAACTCTATGGGTCTGAGAACGTGGAATTAGCTATTCTGGGTAGCATAGAGCAGTTACCACAGCAACAGGCTGCGGTTTGCATATATATTTTCTTACAGAAGCAAAATTACTGACAGCTAATAAAAAACCGCCATGCTACGGGAAGTGCTTTGCATTGCCCGCTGGGCACAACCGAGTGCTTCAAACTCCCCAATGGCGAGCGCTGGGCCCGGCCGCTAATCGGGTGCTGCACCCGGTGTGACGAGGCCAGGCCTGGGGCTGAGGGCTGTGGGTGGTGCCCAGCCCCACGCTCCCTTCCTGCACCAGGCCTGCATGACACAGATAAGGGCTGCACGGCCCACGGCTGCAGCCCTGCACGAGGAGAATGGCTGGCGCTCCTGCCACAGCACCACAGTGTTGAGGCTGCCCATAGAGGTGACCAGCAGCACCGTGGCCGCTGTGGCTGAGGCTGTGGAACCCTCTGGAAGCACCCGGCGCTCAGCCTGGGGCGGAGACTGTAGGAGGGATGTCTGCCAGCGCCGGGCTGGGCAGCAGGCAGTGTGTGGGGAGGAGGAAGTGTTGCGTGGCTCCCACTGTGCTGCGTGAGGCCCTTTGGTGTGTGATGGGTGAGTGGCTGCAGGCTGTGCTGTCTGTGCCAGCCTGCATCCCGCCAGGGCTGTGCTCCCGGGCTGATGGGGGGCAGCTGCAGCCTGGGCAGGCAGCGTGCAGGAAAAACATAGCAGGAAAAACACAGTTACCTGCTCATGCAAGAATTACTGCTCTCCTTTCAGATGTAAGCAGCCTTTCCAGATGGGGCACTCAGAATTAAAGGCAGAACCAGAATGTGGCAAATGTTCCAAATCTTGTGCCCCAAATTCAGCTGCTGATCAATAATAAATTCTGCACAAACTGCAAAGTTTGAACGATAAAGTAATTGGTTGGCTATTGTCTGGGTTTACAGAGTTTACAGTTATCTTTACTTTACATTCTCTTAACGCTCTCCTCCCATTTGTTCTTATGCCAACAGCACACTGCTGCAGGACTGCACTGCAAGCACTGGGAACTTTCAAAATGATTCTGTTTCTAAGCAAAAGTATTCATATGGATGTTCATCAGTTTCTGAGAATTTCAGATCTATGAGATCCACAGTATAAAATTAAGATCTATTTCCTGAAAGCTTGACTCAATTATTTCATGACTGTTCTTTTAAAAGACTGCAAAGCCATTTAGGAATAGTCATCCTTCACTAGGCGGGTATGCTGCCTAAGGACACTCCAGAGAAAGCATTGCTTTCCTTTGCAGGAAGACTGGGAAAGCCCTGCAGTCCTGGGCAGGGAGCACAGCACAGGGCTGGAGCTGAGCAGAGCATCGCCCCGACTGAGAGCTCCCACGGCTCAGGGCTGCACCCATCGGGTCATGGACGGAGCTCCAGGGCTGTTCAGAGATGGAGGGATGCTGAAAGGCTGAGAAATACTGTGTAGATACACAGCTGGGAAACAATCGTGCTCTGATGAATGAGCAAAACAACTAATTAACTACTAATTAAAGATGAACTTGTTGGCACCTTGTACTTGGATCATGGTTTGCCTTTCTTTCATTTTCTATCCATCTGAAGTGCCATCAGCAGCAGACTGCCTGGGTAGATTGATGGCCACAGGCCATGCTTTCAATCTTGTTTCTTTCCTTGATGTTATTATTGCTTCCAAAGTGTTGTCCAAAGCCTGAAGACCTCCACGGGCCTTGTTCATCTGTTACTGAAATACTGAAGTGCCTGGGAGGGGCTTTCTTCTCTCAAAGCACAAATTATCCTCAGAGGGAATTCGCCGGAAGGAGGGCAGACAAAAACCCAGGAAAAATGTCACTATCTGGCTTCTGCATCCACCCTGAAACCAAATCTTCATTGCTTGGCAGCTCATCAATGCTTGCTGCGTGTTCCTCAGCTGAAGTCATAGTCCTGTGTTTGTGAGTTGTTGCTGTGGAGATGGAGGTGGCTGCACCACAACACGGAAATATTATTCCAGGCAGCAAAACAGTATGCAAAAGCAGAAGAACTGAACAAAATGCCTTTTTTTTTTCCTGCACAAATATCATTAGCAACTAATAACCCTCTTTAGAGAGAGCTGTGAATGTCTCTCTGAGCATCGTGTGCCGAGGGCTATGCCTGCAGCCATGAGCACAGCTGTGTGGCAGACAGGTGCCTGTGCACACAGCACAGCCGCACACTGCTCAGCCATGCACTGCACAGCACAGCACAGCAGCACATTTCTCAGCCATGCACTGCACAGCACAGCACAGCACAGCAGCACAGTGCTCAGCACAGCCATGCACTGCATGGCCAGCACCACACAGCAAGCTCTGCATCGCGTGCTTGGCCCCCTGCACCCACGTGCTGGCCGTTGGCTGTGACTTGGTTTTTCCAGTCATTTTCCAAAATGCAAACACGTCGAGATGTTCTACTCATAGTTCATTTGAAGAAGTTCTGAGGAGCATCTGAGGTGGCACAGCGGCCCACTGGGACTAAAGGAGCACATGATGATGTCACTTTGTAGAGTGGAGCAGAGCTGAGCGACCCAGAGATGCCATGGGCAAACTGCAATTTTCCTGTTAAAGACAGAGAAAGTATTGGGATAGCAGCAGGCTTTGGGTTAAAGCCCTGACTTTGTGGAAGTAAGTATTCAGCAGGTGCCCATGGAACAGCTTAGTGGTGACTGATGGCAAAAGCATGGCGTTCCATTGCTCCTGGTGTGCAAACAACCCTACGTCACTTCATTTTTGAGTCAGTAATAACATCAACATAACTGATCTCGCTTGTGTACATGCTTCTGTAGACTGGGAGGAAAGTGTACTTTCCTGTGCCATTTTCTCTATCTGTGTGGAAGTTTTCGTGCTCTCAATCACTAGCAGTCATAACGCTCTCTTATTAGAGCTGATATTTCTTATTTCCATTGTTTTCCTGAGCTTTGCTTCAGCTCTGTGCAGAAAAGCGGTGATTCTAACAGGGGCCAGGAGCATTTTGTTTGAACTGAATAAGGACACTTTGATTAATTTGGAAGCCGTTATCCGAATCAGAGGAAATGTGGGAAACACGTGGACAATCTGTGCTCCCCCCCGCTGGGAGAGAAGTCTCCTCTCTGTCCGTTCTATTGAGTGCTTGCAGATAACAGCTCTGCCTTCCTGCCGTATATCTTGTCTAACAGATCCAGACTTGGGAACACCGTTCTCTTTCCCGATACGGGAACAGGTAGCAGGAGCTCTTGTCTGTTTGTAAAAAATAGCAGTTGTTAATAATAATGAATTGGGGCTGCAGAAATCTCCCTTCTCTCTTCTTGAACTGCTCAGTAAAGTTTTCAGTTTCCCATTAGGACTGTATAGCTGAAATGCACATCTTCATGCACCGAATTGAGCACAAACCCCTGGACTTGTTTCCCATCTCTCCCATCTGCCTTTCAGACGAGGCTCCCAGGCAGCGTGCAGTGCTGCAGTGCCAGCAGCTCCCAGTGCTGCCCACAGCCACCCCGCTGCCTTGGCCGCCACTCTGCACCCCAGTTAATACCTGACTGCTGCTGGAGCGACGTTCCTCTCTCCAGGTGTCTCTGTTCCACACACAGCTTGCATTAACAGAGAGCTGCCAGGAGGCCCAGGTGATACATTTTACCCAGTGGATGTGCAGCTCACTGCCTGGTCTCTTCTCCTTGCTGCACAAGACAGCAGCAGCAATGGGCCGTATGTAGAAAAGCATCTCTTGCTCTCCCGATCCCTTGTGCCTACAGTTATTTCACTTATCTTTTTTTTTTTTTTTTTTTTTTTTTCTTCCAAGAAAAATATTCTTTTTGCCAAAATATGATAATGGTGCAAAAACTTCCAGTTCTCACTTGTCCGGAGTGTTACACTTGAACTGTAGCAGTCCGGAGTGTATTTGGAACGAAGGAGGTTGAGCCCAGCAAAACCCTGTCAGCAGCTCCAGTATGGGGGTAAATCGCCCCAAAACGGGCGGGGGGTGTTGGGTGGGAGATGGGTGGCCATGGGCAGGTAATTGGTGGGCGCTGTTCTGGGCCCGGAGCTCTGAGCAAACGGTGCATCCCCTCTGCCAGCCACCAGGTGCTGCCCGGGCAGATGCTGCAGCCAAGTGCTGAGCGGTTGTTTAACGCTGGGCGCAAGGCTCGAGCTGCTGTGCTGACAGAAGCTGTGAGCGCCGGCCTGTTTGCAAACTCCGGCATTTTGGCACTCAATCAAAGTATTTGCTTCCCAAGAGCATTTGATACAGCTGTGATCCAAAGGATCACATTTTAAAAGTATTTTGTTGCAAAACTGTCAAGTTGCTCAAGTGGAAGTACATGGCAGCTGCTCCTCCTCAAAGGACACAGCGATTTCAGGAATGGGACGGTTTAAGGGATCCCAGCTGTCGAGCCAAAGCACAACCATCGCTTTTCCCCAGACCTGCCGCAGACGCAGCAGCTGATTAACAGGAGCGATACTGTCTGGCTTTGCGGCTGAAATACAGACAGCTACTGAACGCGCCGGGTCAGTGCAGCGCCATCAGCAGCTGAACTGGGAGAACTCAGTGATGGCACATAGCTGTGCTGCAGTGCTGACACGGCGGATGGCAGCTGAGGTGGGGCACAGTGCCTGTCCTGCCGTGGGGACAGGAACAGCCCCGCAGGGTCCGACTGCGCACGGATGTGAGCATGGAGTCACAGCAGCCAGCTGTGCTGCAATAATCACTTACAACGAGCATAGCATACGGGAATTGGTGCCCCACAATACCTCATGCAGACAGGCAGAGTGCTGCTTTCTCCTTTCTCACAGCTCGTCCAGCTGCATGCTGCCCTGCACACCACTCTGTGGTGGTTTGTTTCACACCCTCCTGTCAGCTCTGGTGAAAACAAATGTTGGTTCATTCCCAGTTTAGCATTTCGACACGGGGAGCCAACAAGGAAATGATGTTCCTCTCCTTTTATGGCTTTCTGCTCTGGCCTGACTAGAACAGGAGCATTTTGGCGATGGTGATGGATCTCTGTTGGACCATCTCGGAATAGCTGCAGGCAGAGCAGCCGGGGCTGCACACAGCACCTGCGCAAACAGCAGCACATGCACACAAATTGTGTGCACACACAGCACCTGCACAAACAGCAGCATGCGCACACACAGTGCATGCATGCACAGAGCAGAGCTCCTCATGCACACCAGGGGCTCCCAGGGCCCTCCGAAGGCTCTGACTGCCACTGGAGCTGCGTTTAGTGAACCTGGGAACAAACAGCCAGCCTGGCTGCCTCCGCCGGCATTCAGCAGGGCTGTGGGAGGCAGGGAGACAGGAGCACAGCTGCATGGAGCCAGCCAGGGACATGGTGTGGTTGAGCGTAGCCTCGTGCAGGGCACTGTGCTCCTTTTCTGTTTTCTGCACTTGTTTGAAAAGTAAATTGCAATCCGTGCTATAGAAAATGCTATGGTTTGGGGAGCTCTGGTGTCAGAGCATAGCCATAAACACGCCAACAGAAGTGGATGTTAGTTGGTGCTCTGGGTTTGGTGCTTTTCAGGGGAAACACATGAGGGAAGAACAGTGCAGTAAGGTCCATAACAGGTATTTGTCTTATATGTGCATTTGACCAATGACATCATTTATTACAAGGAAAGGAAAAATGTGGCCAGTTTCCACTTCTGCACACTCCCTCTCAGGGGTTGAGGGGCAGCCCAGCACCTCCAGAAACATGCCTGAGTTCCACTGGTCCCATATCCCTGCACTGGTGCTGCCGAGGGAGGTGCTGCCAAAAACGCCCCTGTGCAGGCTGCAGCAGGCAACATAGAATCACAGAATCACCGAGGTTGGAAAAGACCTTCAAAAGATCATCCAGTCCAACCATCCACCTATCATCAATAGTACTCATTAAACCATGTCCTTCAACACAAAATCCAAATCCACGTTCCCACCCTGCCTATAAGGAGCAGAACTCACCCAGCAAAGCTCACACTCACAAGCTTGGGGCATAATGAGGCATAGGGCGATAAATCCACAGCCCTGGGTTAATGATTATCTGACTCCTTAAACGTAAGCTAGAACTTCCAACCCCATATTTAAAGTTATGCTCCTTATAGCAGTGCTACAAGGAGTAGTAGCTTTGTAAGTGCCAAGCACAGAAGAGCGTTACAGGAACCTGACTCTGGGTAAATTATCACTGGTTATTTTGTGGGTTTTTTGTTTGTTTTATTTTCTTAGCGAAGGGAGCACTCTGCACTGGGGCACAGTGCTGGGGAGGCAGCGGGGAAAGAAGAAGAGAGAAAGGAGAAGCAAAAAAAAGGAAGGTCAAGATCAACCGCTTTCACTGTAACTGAAAGCAGCATGTGGGAAAGAAAGGACACATTTGGGGTCAGTGAGAAGGGTGCTGAGGAGCAGGAGAGAGGTGCACAGCAGAGGGGATGGCAGGGGAGGGCTGCAGGATGGCAGAACGTTGCTGTGCTGCACAACAACACGTTTCCTTCACTGTTCCGTACTGCTTGCTTTTGACCAAGCTACCTCTGCTCCCTGTAGGTCAGAAGCACTGCAGAACACATTGCAGGAGGTACCAGAGCACACGTACACTTCTGTCTCAGGAGAGAAAAGGACCCAGTGACAGAAAGACAAGGCGCACACCCAGACAGCAGGGCGTCAAAGCAGATGCAGAGATGGCTGCTGAAACCAAAAACCTGCCTTAAAACATGAGTGAGATGTGAGCCCAGCACAAGGAATCAAGCACAATTATTGCGTGCTATGAAGCACCGCTCAGAAAACGATTATTTTCCCTTATAACAGCATATGGTGTGATGCATCGAATCATTACAATGAGATGCAGCAGCGCTCAACTGAAGAAAGCTTTCTCTGAGCATTCCTAAAGGAAGCACACACACCGGGCTGCTCCTGGCTGCACAGGCAGAGCCTGAGGGCACTTTGCTGAGCCAGTGACACAGAACTCCTCAGGACCCCACGTTTCACAGGGAGCAGAGAAACTGCTGTAAGAGCAGGGTAATTACAACCAAACGCATTCTCCTCTGTTTATTTCAGCACTGAAGGCAGCTCTGGTGCTCTCTCTTGCCTCAGTGTGCCATGACAGCACTGTGCCCAGGGCTATCACATCCAGAGGAACACAGAGGAGATGCTGGCCATGACAGTCCTGCAGAGCTCATTTCTGGCTCCTGAGGAGCCCACAGGCTTTCCCACACTGGGAAATGATGAAGCAAAATAGAGGCACACAGAGCACCCGCACACATTTGGACCGCTGGGGCTGCTCCCCGCTGGGGAGCTCGGACACACACACAGCATTCATTCCCTCTGCACAGCTCAGCAGCTCAGCACAGCCCAGAGGTTTCCACCAAAGGCTTTCATGCACCACAGAGAGGTGCCACACACCCGCACAGCTCCGCACCAAGAGGCCCTGGGCACACAGTAGCCCCACACTGTTATTCAGCATTGGGTTTAAGTTTCACCATTCCCAAACTTAGCTCCTCAGAGGTCATGAAAAATTTCCCACTTCTGACCTCAGTGTCAGCCAAACCATCTGACACAGGTCATGGGGTGGGACTGCAAGCACAGCAAACTGACCAAAGGAGTGTGCAGATTGCACGTCCCCATGGACACCTGCTGACACTGCATGGCAGCACTGCTGGCAGCCAGCAGAGCGGTGGCTCAGGAGCTCCGTTCCGTTGGGCCTCTGCCCACAGAGCTGAGCAGTGCAGGGCCGGGCTGAGAATCGCCCATACCCAGTGCTCCGGGTACCCTCGTGCTTCATAGGACAGATTCTTTTTTAAGGAGATTACTCAGAATGAAAGAAAACCCATGGAAACCAAGGCCCCATCCCCCCCGCCTCCATTCATCACAGCATCCTCCCACAGAGCCGTGACACCACGGCCGCCGGAGCTCAGGGCAGTTCCCCACCATTTCCCAACACCCTTCCATGAGCCCACATGCCCACTCAACACAGTGTGACTTCCAGCCTCACCGCCTGCAGAGGAGCTCCTCATGGCTGCACCATCCCCATGTGATAACATCACAGCGTGAGTGCTGAGATGTACACCCTGCCATGTGCTGCAGTAAGCAAAACCAGCGTCCTATGGGCAAATCAACATGGCCTCGCAGAAAAAGGAAAAGCAGTCAATAAACAACAGTGTTCTCATCCAACTCCAGACAAATCACGAGAGGCACTGCGCTGATGGCTCGGTGCTTAGTACTGATTTGTGTGTTTCGATCCCACGTTTGCATTTACAGCCTAAATCCTTCTGAGCTCAGATTTCCTCACTCCCGGATGCATTCCCTTGCACTGACCACACACCGGTACGGCACGGCCCTCCCAGCACCTCCCACCATGGCCCGTGTTGTCCCAGCAGGAACGGGGCACTGGGTGCTGGTGGGGCTGCTGTGGGTGGAGTGCAGGTTCCATCGGGGGGCAGGGACAGCCCTTCTGACAGCTTCCACAGGGAAGAAGCCTCTAAAATCTTACCTTTGTTAAACACTGTGTTAAACGTCAGAGGAAGAAGCAGCAGCATTCAGCACCGTGCTCTGCATAGGGAAAAAAGCTCCAGCTCTTCAAGTAGTATTCAAGCAATGCATTCTTTCCTTCCCAAAAGGATACACTGAGGGCAACTTGAAACAAGAGCAGAGATAGAAATCCAGCTCTGCTCCCATGACCAGCTCCCATGAACCAGGACCAGCATGGAGCGGTGGCGGAGCGGAGCCGGGCAGTGCTGTGCTCACAGCCCATGGCTGCTCCTGCGAAGCACTCGTGGGTGGGCACAGCCCTGAACAGCTGCCTTCAGTGTGTAAGCCTGTGTGTGCTTTGTGCTTTACAGCACACTTCACATGCCGTCTCTGGGCCTTGGGGTACCATGGAGGTGATAAAACACGAAGAGCACTGGGCTGGTGGTGTACAGGCTTGCAAGGAGCAGAGTTCCTCCTGGGCCACAGGAACAGCGCTCAGATGAAATGGCATTAGAAAGCAGGAACAAAATGCAGAGCAGCGGTGGTCAGATGAGGGAACATCCCCACCTCCAACATTAATGGCTGAGCAGCAGAAAGCTGCCAGCAGTACAGCCCTGTTCCTTTCTGTGTGTTATGGGATGTGAGGCAACAGCCCACAGATGTCCTGTCCAAAGCCTGTGCCCAGGTACACACAGGGAATGCATTTGGCTGCCACAACTATTTTATTTTATTTTATTTCATTTTTTCCAGATTGTACCAGTAAGGACAGGTGAGATGCCCCCACAGGAGCACATCTCCATGCAGCTGCAATGTCCCCATCACCGCTCAGCCACCCCCTGCAAATCTCCTCCCAGCACAGGAGCAGCTGGGGAGATGAGCTCTGCTTGTGAGCGATCAGTGTGCACCTGCACAGTTCTCAGGAGCAGCCCTGGTGGTGCCTCGGGAGCTGTGCACCAAGCTGGGGTCCCTCACTCTGACCAACACTTTCCACACTCACTGCCGCGGCTCTGCTGCGCCTGACAGACGGGCATAGAGCAGAGTGCTGCTCCCGTCCCTGCACTGCGCTGCACAGGGCTCCTTATTGGCACCCATGCTGCTCTCTGCAAGGAACATTTATTTTTAGGCTGCTGACCGCCATTGAGACGTGCTTGGACTGCTTTCAGCCTGACTCACCGCGGAGCTGCTGTGCTCCTGTGGCCAAGTTCTGTCCCCACCCAAAGTGGAGGAAAACGGAACAAAATAAAACACAAAGACCTGGGCAGGGCCCAAGGCCTCAAGAGTGCCCCCTGCCCTGCTGCGTCCAGCTCTGCTGTGCGGGGCACGGGGACCTGGCAGCACAGCTCTCACTGCTTAGGGCAGGCAACAGCTGCAAGTGGGCACAGCTCTGAATTATCTGGAAAGAGAGCAACAGTGGAACACGGTTTAAATACTCAAACGCTTGGAAGCTAAAGCCGCCTATCGGCCTCAGTCGCATCAGAGCAGCAGGGCCACACCGCTGCCAAAGGGACTGCCTGGCTCGGGGCTGGTGCAGGGAGTCGGGATTTGGTGCTTTGCTTTCCCTGAGCTGCTCCCCTCACCGAGAGGCACAGGGCTGTCCGTTCCGCAGCACAGCAGCAGCACAGCACTCAGATCCTCTCCATGGTTTTTACCTGTGAGCCTACCGTGGCCTCCATGCTCCTGGCCAGCACCTCGCCCCATTCCTGCGGCTCTGTGGGAGCTGCAGAGCAGAGCTGCTGCCTTATGCCTCCCCTCTGTGGTGGCTTGCAGGGGCTGATCAGGCAGAGCCAGCTCCTTGTTGCTCTTCTTCTCTTCCAGTGCTGTGAGCACAAGGACCAGGAGGCCCATAACTGCACGTTCTGCTCTCAGAAATAATCTCCTGAAGTAAAGCAAACCTCTACTTGCATCTTGAAGTTAGATTTGACAAGAAGCAGCAGGAATAAGGAAATGCATCATTTTTGTTTTTACTTGAAAACTTCCTCAGTGCATCTCTGGTGTTCTGCAGCCAGGTCAGACGGCACAAAGAAAGCTGCCTGCACACAGTGCAGCTCATGCAAGGCCTGCCTGGCCCACCGCCCAGCCCTGCTCCCTCCTCCTGGCCTCGGTCACAGGGGGAAGCAGCCACCTTCCCAGCCTTGCTACCAGCTGAGTCTGTCCACCTTTTTGCATACCTCCTTTGGTGCACATCCTTGGTGCCAGCCCAAACAGGTGGGAGATGTAAATGGGCGCAGCTATTCATGCCAAAATGAAAACCCCCAGGAGCTGTAGTTCAGGCCAGGAAGTCACGTATGCAAAGGCGGCTCTGCATGGAGCCTGCAACACCCAGCTCCAGCATGTTTCCCTCGGGCTCAGGTCTGGCCTGGCACCAACTAGCAGATCACTGATCACAAAAGACGTTTGACAACAAAAGTTCCTGCTGAGAAATGTCACAATGATATTTTATTTGCAATCTCAACAGAGCACAGCATACCCTATGCTGGGTTTGGTGTCGGGCTGCCCGCTGCCAGTTGACCTGCCTCTGTCCTGCTGGAAACAAATCGGCAATAGGCACTTTCAGTGACAAACTCAGTTCCTGTATGTTCTGCTGCCTGAACAAAGCTATCTAAAGAATAAAGCAGTGCATGCTGCCGATGTTCTCCCACACAGCTTTCCCCTAGTTCCATTGCCAGAGCTCTCCCTAGCAGTTCATTTGTCCGTGCTTTTCAGCCTGCCCAAAACCTGCACTACTTTTGCCATCAGCATCTCTCGGAAGTTGTCCCCCATGAGGAAGTAGAACACGGGGTTGATGGCACTGTTGAGGAAGGCGATGGGCCGGGTGATGATGTAGGCAGTGTTGATGGTGCTCTGGGTGCACATGGACATGTTGAGGGCTGGGATGCGGGAGGCGAGGCGGACATTGCGCATCACATGGTATGGGGTGAAGAGCAGCGAGAAGGTGGTGACAGCCAGCACCACCAGGGTGAGCGGCCTCTCAAGAGCCAGGACAGAACTGCTCCTCTCCTTCCAGGTCTTCAGAAAAAGCAGCATCTTCACGTAGAAGAAGCACATTACGGCAAGGGGGATGAGGAACCCAAAGAGCGTTAGGAACAGACTGTAGATGAGGCTTTTCTCTGGGTCCCCAGAACTCGCGTAGTCGAGGCACGTGAAGTTATTGGCTGGTGACACTGTCTCCAGGAAGAAGGTCAGCGGCAACAGCTCCAGTATCACCAGGACCCAAACAGCAATGCACACAATGAAGGCTGTCTTCCTCTTCTGCAGTGCATGATCTCTGAAAGGGTATCTCATGAGCATGTACCGGTCAATGCTGATGACGGTAAGGAAGAGGATGCTGGTGTACAGGTTGACGTGCAGCAGGAACCTGTTGCTGTAGCACAGGATGCTCGAACTTATCCATCGGCCTCGGGAGTAGCTGCTCACCAGGACCGGTAAAGTGCACAGGAACAGCAAATCTGACAGTGACAAGTTGAACAGGTAAATATTGCCATTTTTCCACTCCTTTAGGCAGAAGATATAACCAAGCACAACAACGCTGTTCCCAATGGCACCCAAAGCGAACTCCAGGCTATACATGGTGGAGAGGTAAACCTTCTGCAGGGCTCCTCCCACATCCTGACAGGCATCCGTCCCATTCACAGCCTGCAAAGGCAGAATGAAAAAAGCAAGTCAGCACAATCCATCATATTGCTGTCGTAGTATTGTTGCTGTAATAGATCAACACGGCACACTGCTTCCTTCCAGCCCAGGTAGCAAGTAGGTGCATGAAGATCACACCTTGTTTGCACAAGGTTTCCGCTCTCAGCTGCTGGCAGGGTCAGCGAGGAGCAAACACCCAGGAGAGCGCGCAGCCAGGAGGGCCCTGCAGTGCGGCCGGGCGCTGACACCCCGCAGGCAGCGGCTGCTCGCGGCCCTCAGCTCCCTTACACAACTTCCGCCCGCGCTGCCCTCTCAGCATCACTCCCTTTCCAGGAGGATGAGCTCAGCAGCACGGCTGCACTGACGGCATTTCTCAGAATTCTTTAAGAACTTACCAGACTGCGCTTACTGAATGGACGGAGCCATTCGTGGCGTGTTCAAGTTTCTGCCGGCACCCCAGCAGCAGGATGGCACAGAAGTGGTGCAGGTGGAGCACATCCCCCCGCTCCTACGGGAGCACAGGGCTGCCCCGGGGCTCTGCAGCGTGGTGGCGAGGAGCGAGAACTCCTGGGGAGCTGCACCTCACAGGAGGTTGCTTGGGGATAAACCTTGCTTTTGTTCCGAGGGTATGGATAAGCAAATGCTTTTGTTTCAAAGAAATCAAGCAGAGGCACAGGCGCTCAGCCCTCTTCCTCAGGGAAACATCCACCTGCTGCTGAGAATCCCCAGGGGCACTGAGCACCAGTGAGAACAAAGTGGTCAGAGTGCAGGGGAAGATTTAGTGTTAGGAAAGTAAAACGTGGGTTACAACTGATATCAAGTTAAGGTTCAGCTCTGAAAGGACATCAATGTGACTGCCACAGAGTCTGCAACAGGCTGGATAAGGACCTGATTTGCAGACACCACAACTTCTCAGAGCTGCTCTGGTGCCTGAAGCACGTTAGTCTGAGAATGGGGACCTTGGACCAAAGTGACACGCTATGCTCTGCAGGCAGCTGATGAGACAGAACAGGCACAGCACACATAGCTCCCCACAGCCACACACAGCAGTACCCACTCTTCCCTCTGTGCCCCAGAGCTCCTCAGAGCCCTCGGGACCTGGAGCTGTTGGGGCCAGAGCAGCACCAGGCACACCCAGGCCCTGCCTGCTGGGGTCCTGCAGAGCAGCTGCAGAAGTGACCACACTGCCACCAGCACTTCAAGTACAAATAACAACTAGCAAGCTTCTGCATTAGCAGACACGTTGATACAAGCAGCAGAAGCAGAGGGGCTGCTGGTTTGCAGTGGATGAGGCCATGCAGGAGCTCTTCGTGGAGCAGGAAGGGGCACAACACACAGCTCCACACGCAGCTCCCCATGCAGGGGCACAGCGTGCAGCTTACCATGCTGGGGCTGCTCCCTCGGTGAGTTCACACCAACCATCCCTCAGTGGAACTTCTCCGATTGCCAGAGCTCAGCGCACCACGGATGCTTTATCCTCGTTTGCATGTGATGCAGACGTTGATGAGTCATGCGGAGGCGCGATCTGTGTGGCTGCACAGCACCAGGAAGGTGCCCCAAGTTTGTACAGGACCAGCAAGAGGCAGAGGAGAAGCTGCCCCCCGTGCTGTGGGCTGCCCTGGGTACAGCACAGTGACGCAGCCAGAATGGCTCCAGCACAAGCAGCACCTGCCGAATTCACAGTGCTGCTGTGCAGCCAGCACCACCAACAAGTGGGATGGGATGGATGGAGCCAGCTACAAAGTGCATAGGGGTTCCATTTCGCTCAGAATTCCTCTTCCGGGCCTGCTTATCTGCTACACCAGCTCGTGGGGGAGCTCAGGGGCTCTGCCGCAGGCAGCACTAACAACCCTGAGCTGTGCAGCAGTGCCACATGTCCGCTCACACAGCCTGCAGCAATGCTCCACATCCACTCCATACCCAGAGTGCCGGCTCCAGCTGTCAGGAGACAGCTGCCAACACTGGAGCAACATCTTCCTCTTTGCATCACTATCATGATATGGGCCATAAAAAATTCAAAAGAGAATGGAAGGGGCAGCAAAGAAACCTATCACATGATGGGTCAACCCATCAGTGACGACTCACCAGTCATCGCTCGTGGCCAATAGAGGCAGCCTGCAGCAGATGAGGTGCTGTGGGATGAGTGGAGGTTTGCCACAGAAGCTGACCGTGAGGGAGCAGCCAACATGAGACCCCTGCAGTAGTAATCCAGCAGGCAGATGTGCCCACCCAGCTGCTCACTGGAGCAGATCTCATAGATTTTGATGACAGGAGAAGGCCATTGCTTTTTCAGCCTATAGAAAATATGAATACGTATAGAATATTGACAGCTTAGAGGAAAGGGGGAAGTGGGGAGCAACACACTTGACAGAGCTTTTCCCATAGAATCATAGAATTTATCAGGTTGGAAAAGGCCTTAAAGACCAAGTCCAGCTGCAACCTTACCTACTACCTTCTGGATCTGTCTCCAACTCTGCTGATATATTGGCCACAAGAGGTTTAGAGCTCTTCAGAACATCAAGGACAACTTCTGTTAAATAAAAAAAAAAGCATCAGAAAAAATGAATACATTCGGAATGCACAGAATGCCTTCACCTGCAGTGCCACTGCAGCCCCTAAAGGCACTGCTGAATGCCTCCCCTGTGCTGGGCCACCACCTGAAGAGATCTGCAGTCTCTAAACACACTGGGAAATGATAGGACAAAAGTGCTCTTTTTTCCTCCAAGTATCCACACGTCCACCTTCTGTGTGAGGTCACAGAATGATTTGTACTGAAAGGGATCTTAGAGATCATCCAGTTCAGGGACACCTTCCAGTAGAGCAGGTTGCTCACAGCCCTGCCCAGCCTGCTCTTGAATGCCTCCAGAGAGGGGGCACCCACAGTGACTAAGTCTTGGATGGTTCATTTATTTAGAAACTGATGTCACAAGTCTCTGATGCTCTTTTCCATCATTCTAGTCCTTACGAAACACAGCCACAGGCCTCTTCATTCCGTGCTCTGCTGTAAGTTGTGGGATATTCTTATTTTGTTAAGAAAACATTGCATGAAACAACCAAGAAAGTATCCAAGGAAAACATCACCAGCATCTCTAGCACCTGGAAACAGCATCAGAGGGGCAGAGTGCCAGGTGTGTAAGGACATGCTTCCATTGCGCTCAAACAGACCCACATTTCTCTGACAAAGCTTCCAACATAGGCAGTGAGGAAATTCAGTGACACAGCACTGCCACAAGGCTCGTAATCATGGGGTATCTGGGCAACTGGTAAGCTTCTCCTTTCCTCTTGGGAAAAATGCATTGAACTGAGCAGGCTGATACATGGCAGAGGTCAGACTTTTTTTTTTCAGGCCAGCTGGTCTCCCAGTCAGCAGCCTCAATACAAACCGTGTCATAGAGAAGCAACCCAGTGCCACCACCAGCAATTCAAACAGCAACCTGCCCCAGCGAGCTCATCTGTGCAGATGGATGTGTGCAGATGCATGCAGGCGTGTGCTGTCCTGCAGGCAAGATGCTGGAGCGTTGCTTCCAAAAGCTTCACCATACTGCTCCCCATCAATTCAAAGCAAATCTTCAAAGCCTGATGTGCCTTTGGCTGGAGCAGGCTCAGTCATTAGTCAAGGCTGTGCTTTTAAATTCCTGGGGTTCTCCAGCATCCTGAAGGCTTTGAGGAAGACAGTCAGGCACATTTGTTGTCATTAAGGACCTTTAATTGGTGTATATTATATTGAGGCCTATCAAATGAGTCATGCATATTGGAGGGCTCATTGTGACACATTTGCATGTGGCTCAGTCACTGGGGCTGGCTGCGAGCAGAGCCCCCAAAGCAGGGGGGTTGCCCCCCCCCCCCCCAGATGCACTGTGGGAGCGTGGAGCAGGGCCCTCAGGTAACAAATTCCAGGAGAAGGATCAGTGGGCACAGGGCTCTTAAGAGAGAGCAGAGGGACAGCAGAGAGCAGCTGGGCACAGCACACACAGCAGCACACGCACAGAGCACCCGTTGCTGTAAGGCACAGCAGCCCCACCTGCTCCTACCTTTGCTGCAAAGAAAGGATTGAACAACACACCTTTACCTTTCCTTTTTCAGCGCCAGGTTTACCTGTGTCCCAGGATAAATGTGACTCATTCCTTCTCTGCCCTGATCCCCGGGCTCAGCTGAACAGAAGTGCAGATAAAACCCAAATCCCTCTACTCCCACATTTCCCTATGTGCAATTCTGCTTTTATGAGAGGAGCACACGAACAAGCCTGAAGTGTTATGACTGCCTGTGGAACGCCGTTTGCATAACAGGTTTTGATAATGCCCGTCATGTACAACAGCCCCCCGAGTACTTTGCCACCTGCTATTTGGAATTGCACCAATTATGTCCAGGGTGCGAAAAATAAGGGAAGTTGTGAAATTGTTTCAGCTGCTCCATTTGACTTTGTTCCCTGCAGGAATAGATCTTAACAATGCACACTTCAGAAACTCCGACATAGCCATCCTCCGTGCCCCAAGCTGCACAACCCCTCTTTCCCCCCTGCCCATCCAGGAAGGTTGGATCTATGTGCTAAGCTATTTCCCTGGAGAGGCAAGCACTCCTCCCATGGAGCAGCACCCAGCTGCAGGAGTGCGGCAAGAGCCACTGCCTTCTGCCTTCAGCAGGGCTGGGATGGACACTGCCAGCTCCCAGCACCTCAAGAACCACTGTTCATTTTGCCTGGCTTCATTCCCCAGTTCAGTGAGCGTGGAGGAAGGCACAAACGTCTCAAAGAAAATTGTTAAGATGTTGACATATTCACAATATAACCTTAATGCTTTCTAACATTTATCTCAGTTTAATGTGCCAGGAGTATTGCACAGACTCATCCCTTCTCAGCACATTTCTCATGACCCTGAATTTAGCCCTGATTCTCTGTGGCAGTCACTGTGCGTAATGAAGTTCACTTGTCCTTTCTGTCACCCACGTATTCCGTTTATTGGAAAAGAATAACATTGCATTAGAATCAGAAAAGTTTTTTGTATTCAACATAAGACAAAAATACAGCAACCCTGACATAATTCCATCTAAACACCTGCATACACACATGGAAAAAACAGCATTTGTGCAGTAGCTTTTGTGCAAAGAAACAGGATGCTGCATGTTCGTTGGTGGTGTTTTGCAACCACCTTCAGACCAACAGCCCACCAACGTGTGTGCTCACCACTCAAGTTCAGGGACTCGTATTTAATACAGAGAGCACTTTGACATAGAATATTCATTCAGAAGTGTGCTGAACTCTGTCTTCTTCAAACCTATAATGTTGCCTAGTTTTATTCTTAAAAACTGCATAACAGTGATAGGGGTAACAAGAACATGACACTTATTTAGTAAGCAGAACATAATTGCAGAGCAGTGTTGTTCTAAGGGCAGGACCTTTGCACCCTTCCCTTATCTGATGGGCACCCAGAGCTGTTCAGTTACACTACTTCCTTCTATTACAGAGCCTAATGGAGGCAATTACTGAGTAAGATGGGTGCAGATTTTTAGCATTTGCATCATCTCGCAGCCATCCCCTTCGGTCTCGTGGTGCTCACCTGGAGCTGTGCTGCAGGGCTGGCAGCAGGGATGCAGTGGGCAGATTCCACTGCTGCCACTCACGCTGGGTCTGCCCACTGCTCCTCTGCTGCTTGTGGAGCACCTGACACAAGGGGCAGGGGGTGGGCAGACAGAAGCAGCAGCTGTGTGAAACAGAGATGGCACATGCTGACACAAGCCCATTGCTGTGACACAGCAGTGGGAAGGGATTAAAAGTTGCCCAGCTGAGCCCTATGCTTCACCAGGCAGGCTGCAATGGGAGCACTGCCCACCAAGCCCAGGCAGCTGCACAGTGGGGACCAGGCACAGCCTGATGGTGGTCGGCCAGGAAAGGGGTCCCCAGGCAGTGCTGGGTCCTAAGCTCAGAAGGCAGCACCAAAAAAGCACACGTTGGATCAAGCTCGTTTTCCTGATGGAGATGACAAGAAATGCTATGCAGACACCTCAAGGCAGCACAGAATACAGCAATCACACCCAAAGCAAACAGACCCCATTCTCCCACACCCAGCTCAGCTGCACCCAGCTAAGAGCCAGATGTGTTGCAGCACCCCTCTGTGGCTACAGATGCTCCTCCAGCCACTGCAAGTAGCTGCTCATCAGCCTGTGCCCCACGGCCGTGTCAATCGGGCTGGTGACAAACGTCAGCGCCCCGTGGAAGCCGTCCTCAGCGTGCTCGTGTGTGACAGGAACGCCCACCGCCCTGAGGCGCGCGGCATACATGAATCCGTCATCCCGCAGCACATCGTGCTGGCAGGTGAGGATGTAGGTGGGGGGCAGCCCCCGCAGCTGTGCCTCTGCTGCCAGCAGTGGGGCTGCCCGCGTGTCCAGCAACCCCGGGTACTTCTCTGCCAGCGCGGGGCTCCCAA